TCTTTTGGATACATAGCGTGGGTTTGAGCTTTTGGGTATCCAGTGCCTTGGCTATATCCAGATGTCTTAATTTTAATCCTTTTGATAGGTTTGATCGAATCTTTTATATGTATTTTGAAGGATTTTTCGAAAGGCGCTGAATGTCCTGAATTGACTAGATCTTCTGTCACTGAACTATATACCCTTTTTCGTTCTCCTTTTACTAGCCAGGCTGGAGAGTGTGTACGAGCGCGTTTTTTTCAAGCTGGCGCATGGTAAGGCCGATGTAGTCAACTTCGCAAGAGCAAGTAAACTGGCATACGCACGTTGAATTGGCCCAATGCGACAGCTTGTCTTTCGCGTTCTGACTGAGCAGTTTCTTGCAGGAAGACGTTAGTCGTAGGCTCGCAGCGAAGTATAAATTAAATAAATTATAAGTAAATTATAAAAACCTTGATTTTCTTATATTCAAATACACGGAAACTTCATAGAAAACACAAATAATTAAATATGACATATGCAGACCATACAGAACTAAATAACAAAATTTTAATGTGTTTCACTTAAATACATGAGTAAAAACACAGTTATTTTGTTCAGCGAAGAAATTTCTTTTCAACGACTTCATTTTCAAGCTGTACAGTCGTATTTATATTACAGAAAAGGTCATTAAGTGGCACTAAATAATTGCTCAGTCAATATACATATATAAGTGATAAGAATAACGATAATTAAAATGTTATAAGGGGTAAAGTTGAAGTGAATGAATTACAAAATTAATTAATTATGATGAAAATGAAGATGTGAAGTGAGGTGGAAAGAATTCAAGTGGTAAAATAAAATAAAGTAAAAACTAGAAAGAACATTACTATGACCAAGGTAAAGAAATGGGTTTGACAAAACGTTTTTGAACACATAATTTAGGTTTCTGTTCATGTATAGCTAAAGCTTCGGCTAAGCATAAATGAAGAAAACGTAAACTTTTGGAGCGATTCGTTGTTGCCATGTAGATAATCTTGAAGGATGAATTACGTGAGGCTGAATTACCAGAATCTAACAGATGATCACAGATAGACGACTTCACAGTTCTACATTCGCCTTTCATTAATCAGACTGGATAGTGTTCAGCTACACGTTTTCGAAGAGTACGCTTACAACGTCCAGTATAAACAGCTCCACAAGAGCAGGTAAAAGAGTAAATACACATGGATGTGGACAAAAGCGGTAATCTATCCTTGACGCATTGTCTAATCATATTACGGCTGGTAAAAACTAGCTGCAAGTCAGTTGCAGGAAAAGTATGTTTAATACATTGAGATGAACGATTTTTAATCCATTGAGAAATGGTGTCGCACTTGAATGCAAGACTCATAAACAGTTTGTTCTTTGACACTGTGATTTGTCTTGGGGCGGATTCTTCTTTCTTGATGTTACGTTCAATGAACCTTGTAAGATATCCATTGTTAAGGAGATTTAATCGAAGCTTATCTAGTTCACTATCGATTGTCTCTGTAGAGCAGATATTACGAATTCTAGAGCATTAGGAATGAATTAGAATTCTCTTTCTCCCTAAAGGTACCCAACTTTCGAAGTTAGTGTACTGCCCAGTGAATGTTGGCTTTCGGTAAATCGACCTTAAATACACGAGATAGTTTGAATCATGCTCATCACGATTAATATGCAACTATGATTTTCAATCCACGAATGTCCTCCTCAATGGAAAAATGACAGTAGGTCAAATAAACTAATAACAGAAGAGAAAAGGGAATGAAAACAATTAAGGTCAATTAAAAAACTACGCTACCAAGATATTTTGTCAAAATTTTACCATGAAATAATCGTCAAAGTAAATTATATTCCTCTGGTTACATCGCGAAGTGATATCAGTTTGATAGGTATTGAAAACCAGTGCTGTTTCCTATCCTTACTTCAAACTAATCAACGGTATGCACCCATGACCATCAATGACTATTTAGTCATTGAAAAGCAATCCACTGGTCGGCAAATAAATTATTATTTCTGTCATTTTGAGATAAATGACGTCATAGCTAGCCTATATCATTAGTGGGTTTGGTGAATCTTAGGTCTAACTGAGTACATCGCTGATGATGCAGGCCTCAAATAAGCGAAACTGCCATCCAGTGTCTTAGATCACTAAAAAACTGACTTTTGAACAATTGTGGTTAATATATATGTAAGTTTCACTTGTGTACTTTATACACACTTAGCACAAGGAATAAGACTAGGAATTTGAGATCTGATGTGAAGTGAGTCGATGTTTCTATACGACTCGGAGATTTGGTGCATGAGTCACCGAGAGCACTTGAAACAGCCGGCTTCTCTTAACAGTGAGAGAAGCGGTGAACAGCAAGGAACTATGGCGAAGAACTAACCACAAACCTTGATTTTGGAATAGAACTTGTTCATTGTGGTAGAGTATAATTCCATTATGCGTAGAATGTTTTTTGACAAGGTCCCACAGTGTTACACAGTAATATTTACTGATGGCAGCGTTTCGAGCACAATTTATTACTGCTCATTATCATACCAAGGTACTCACACAAAACTTTCCTACTTCGTTTATATAATTCCATTATTTTGTATCGCATGACTTGATTAATAGTAGTTTTTTGCATATATCCGGTATGAATGATGAGTCAGTTTACTCTCACGTGTTGGGTGGAGACTCAATCAACAAGGATTCAGTAATCATTCTCTCTCACTCTCCACCCAACTACATTACTTCTTATAATTTTTATCCTCTCCCTCCCATCCTATTGTGTGTTTGCGTGTTAATGCATGCAGTGCCATAGCTGAGTTTTCTTCTGAATTACTTATCTTCTCGGGGTCAATCATTCTTAACTTAGCTAAATTTTTATGTTCTAACAAGCTGACTACTACCATCTACTTGTTTAACCTATGTAGCCGAAGTAACTTACAATAATTGCAAGGTATTCTGGAAATTATATTATTTTGTCTAATTGGCTCAACTGGTTCCTTTAAACTACAGAGCTAGTCCCTGAGTAGGTTGTAGGTTTACATGTCAGTGTAGGGTGGCATAACAATAATCATGAACCTGTTAGTCAGCGAATATGCCGAAATCATATATGTATATAAATGAAGGGTGTACATACTGCAAAGACCATCGAGTGATATCTTGCTTCAGACTGCCAAGTTGAACCTGAATACGAGTGACATGGAGGAGAGTCAGTCTTGCAGCCATCAGTAGACGACTATTTAGAATAGAATAAGATGAATATGTTCTGCTGAAGCTGTATGTTCCACTCAGAACCCAAGGGAATAAAAATAATAATAATATTTTATGATATCATACATTTCACATACTGTAATCTTGGGAGAAGTTGATTGATGGATGGTGACTAGCAGTCCTCTTTAAGACTTGTCATCTGGACGTACCTGCATTCCGCAGTGACGCTCGAACCCACTGCCCATAATTTAAGATGCCAAAACATTATCCACTAGACCACTTGGCCAATAGTTTCAGGCCTCGGTGGAAACATCATCAGTGACTGCACAATGCAGGTACATCCACTGAAGAGTCTCAAACAGGACGAAATTCGCATCCTGGTGGATTCCACTGTTATTCGTCATCCATCCTGAGGAAACCATCAAGTGACATCACTACACTAGCCCCTGAGTGGAACCCGAATGGGAAGCGGCGAGTTGGTCGTCAGTGCAAGGGTGACTTGGAGGAGGTCATGCGAAAAGGAGATGAAAACGTGTGGGCAGACATGGAGCTAGGTGAAGTCTCTAGCAGAGAACCGAACGCAATGGAGACGCACGGCTGAAGCCCTGTGTTCCTCTAGGAATTAAAGGAAACAATAATAATAATAATCTATCATTTCAATATCAATTCTAATTAAATGCCCAGACATCGTCGAAGCATCTGCACAAGAAGCCGACGTATCAACCTGAGAAAGAGCACTTTGGTCCAATCAATAGACGAAAAAATCTAAAGTTGAATAATTATAAATAAATAAATAGTAACAATTATACACCTCATCCAACAGTTATGCAACAATGTCGGATGCATAAAGTGAACCCACACAATAACCTGGGGGATCTGGATTTCACTGATGTGATGTCTGATTTTCTACAAACTGCAAGTGAAAAGCAACAAGTTGGCAGAAGATGCATCCAGAGAAGATAGAACTTCAGATGAACACAGAGAAAACAGAAGTGATGAAGATTCCTAGCCAACAGCAACAGCAACAACTACAGACAACAGTCAGCACAAATGGGAGAAATCTGAAAGAAGCAACCTCCTTAACCTACCCACCCACCCAACCTGGGAAGCATCGTCTCAACTACAGGCGAACGGAACTGATAAAGGTATCAAAGCACGAGAATAGGGAAATCAAGGCAAGCTTTCATTACTCTCAAGTCTGTGTGGAGGTCAGTAGCATTCAACATGCGAAATAAGATCCGGATTTTCAACTTCAATGTGAAGTCAATGCTACTTACTATACGGATCAAAGACTTCGCGTGTCATGAAGGGCACTTTGAACAAACTACACACTTTCATCAACAGCTGTATATATACTGTGTATACTCAAGATCAGATGGTCAGAAGAGATAAGCAACAAGGATCTTCGTGGAGAGGAGCAACCCAGCTGGAACCAATTGTGCAACAAATAATTGAGAAGAAATGGAAGTGGATCGGCCAAACTCTGAGGAAACCATCAAGTGACATCACAAGACAGGCCTTTCAGTGGAACCTGAATGGGAAGCGGCGAGTTGGTAAGTAGCCAGTGCGAAGGTTACATGGAGGAAGTGATGTGAAGAGGAGATGAAAGCATGTGGGCAGACATGAAGCCAGGCAAAAGAGTTGGCAGAAAACCGAACGCAATGTACACGTGCAGCTGAAGCCCTATGTTCCCTAGGAACTAAAGTAAACAGTAATAATCTAAGTAGTTTAACTTCCTTAAAAATATATGTAATGAATTCTAATTTTAATTTGTTTAATCGTTTCTTTTTATTTTTTAATATTTATCTTTCAGATGGTAAAAATGCTCACCTTAGTCGCCTTGATGTATGGCTTATCCCAATTACCAAGACATGCTATCTACCTTCATGGATTAATCAATATTGACTTTTGGACTAAATCGTATGCCTTAAAAGTTTGGGCTGCTGCCAATTTTGCACGGGATTCATCCACATGTTATAATCCTTTTATATATGCCTGGATAAATAAGACTTTTCGTCAAGATATTTATCGACTCTTCTATTCATGTATTATAGTATGTATACCGAAACGTTTGATGAAAAAATCAACAACACAATCAGATGGTGTAGTGGGTGTTACAGCATCAATGCGGAAAGGGAGGAAGAATAGTAATAATAACAATAATCATAATAATAAGAACAATAATCATCGCTTACCAATTATTCGTACAATTCCACCCTCGTCGATTACTGAAAGTCATCTGAATTCGTTGACAACGCGTAAATCCTTCAAATGACCATCATAATGATCTATCATGTTCAGCAGTACCTATGTGTATATGATTTCCGATTTATTATAGATAAACAGATAGACAATTACATTGAAAAGGAGTTATTTGTAGACTATAATATAATATGACCAAGTAATCTGTATATACATATATATAAATATATATATACAAATGTAAATTGACGCAAACATTTATATTTAGTTATATGTGACCATTTTGATGCTTTTACAACAACTCGAAAACCTCGGAGCAATTTGGAAGCTGTATTAAATTATGTACAGAATATATGCATATGTCATTATCATGCTGGCTGTTTTCATTTCTGGCGTCTTTTTTGTGTGAGTTCTCGTCAGATGACAAGAGATTTTCAAGTCTTTAAGGCTGAGTACTTTGTGTTTTCGACTGTCGTGATTAGGTTTGAATACCGTAAGAATGTATGAGTTATTTACAGAAGTCATCTATAACTGCATAATTTTTCTCCGGCCGAAGGAGCTGGTTGTTCTAAGGGGCTACTTCCGACCCGCCGCCACCTACTTACAAAGCCTCTGAATTGAAGACTGATCTATAAGGCAGTAGAGCAGCGTCAGGATTAGTCACCTTCGCATGGTTTTCGATGACTAAATAAGATGCATGCACACATTCTATCCTTTCGGATTCCTGGAAGCGATTTACATACACTATATATATTTGAAATCAAGGTTTTCTAGCTCCTCACCTCAAGTAGACTTGTGTGTTCACTAGTTCAGTGGTAAGAGCCCACTGTTTACATTCGTTGCTTCACTTTAGTGAGGAATAACTCCTGCTGCGTAAAGGGAAAGAAAAATCCCATATTTATACATGAAATTATTATATATGTGTATATTGTCGATGATGCAGTCAAAATAAGAAATCACGGTTTGATATGGTGAAAATTGTTACTCCATCAGAATCAAGATAGTTATGTGTTCACTGGATAAGTATAAAGAAATTAAAAGAAAAACTAAGGGAAATTTTCAGGTATTGGTTTGTAGGGATTTGATTGATTCGTTATAAGCTTTCATCATTAGCTCATATAGGTTGGAGAACCAATGAAAGTCCTGGGAGTACTGGACAGCTGTTTCATACTGCTTAAGGACTCTTCACAGAACTCATTCACCTTGGGTTCTAGTGGGAATTCATGACCAGTAGGGTGAAGGGTGTCGGGCATGAGGACAAATACTCGACGAAGACGTTGGTGTTGGTGGTCGTGCTCTGTCGTGAAATGGCAGAAGTTGGAATTCATGGGCCATTGGATAAGGTCTTAGTGGTTTAATGGTCTACGAGCTCGCCTTGTGTCCAGAAGGTCGTGAGTTCTAACCCTGGTGATGGGTGCGTACTGGTGAAGCAGAATCTCAATGTAGGCCGACGAAACAGCTGTCTTGCAGTAATCCTTGCGGCTGGTTTTCGAATGGTTCTCTAACCGATGTCGGCTGATGATGAAACCATGTAAGTGAAATTTTCGAATAGGCCACACTGTCGAATTGCCAGTGAGTTCAACATTGACAAGTGCTGAAATCTAACACCATTTCCACCACCCGGTCTTAACTTTGTAGATAATTTTATAAGACAACTCTGATGGAACTGCATGGCCCAAGTAATAGTACTCGATATTATAATATTAGTATTCTCTCAGGTTCCTAGAGTAATATGGACCTTCGAAAACACGTTTACGTTTCATCTGGTTCCCTGAAGTCATCTTTAGTTAGCCCCACAATTGCCCATAGGTTAACATCTCCTCATTACACAAACCATTCCAAATCACATTGAGACCTACGTTAAACTCGTCATTTTTCGTATGATGTCTCACTGGTGAGTCTGTCTAGCAGAGCATGTCAGCCGACCTTCTCAAGTCTCAGAATCATATAAAAGTACTGACTTGATATTAGTGATGGAAGTTCTATTTTTGTACTAAATGCAACAGGTTTCAACGATGATTTCATAGCAGTGATGACCTATCTTGCTTCTTGCTTTTACATCTCCATCCGTGCATCATGTATTTGAAACGATGTTACTTCGACAAGTGAAAGAAATGACTCCTTCCACAGTGATTGGTGTTTATTTCTGATTGGTTGAGTAAGGTAATCACTTCTGTCTTCTATGTGATCAAATAAAGTCGTGTATATTTAATAGTCACTGGTACAAGTAAGGGCTTGCCATCCGATAAGCTGAAAACAGTTATCCGATGAGAGGTTAAGTAGCTCATAGTTCAACTGACCAGTGTTACGAAGGTGTGAAAAAAGTGGTGGAGTTTATAAATGGAAAGTAAAACAGTTACAATAGTAAATTAATTACTAAAAAAAGCCATTTCATTCAAACAGAATTCCGAATTACATTGATGAATCGTTGGGGTCTCCCACATATACACTACGAAACTTAACACCATTTCAGTCTTACCACACAGATAATTTCAAAAGATGACTTTGCCGGTGATGTGGACCATGAGTTCCCCAGATACTCTAGAATCGAGCTAATAATTATTTTTCACTGTCCTCTTCATAACCATATCGGGAAATAGTCTAAGATGAGTTTGGAGAATGTATGCAATTTGTGCAACGAATATAACTAACTTCACCGGAGCGAATTAATTTTTAAACATACATTGAAGTGGCCGCAAGCTGCACTTTAACCTGCACCTGGCCACTGATCCGGTTGCCAGCTGTAAAGATTAATCGACGATATATGAAGGCAACGACGATGTTTGAAACAAACCAACATGTTCTATTATAATCAACCAAAGTGAAAATATCAACTTCATCAGACGATTTCTAAAGTTCAAACTTTAATTTATAGAGAATGCTCAAGATAATGCGAAAATGTTAGAGATATTAAGCACATAAGGAAAGTTAAATTTCAATCAAGGTATTAAAATACCAAGATAAGTGAGGTCAATCGAAAGGTAAGATATTTCCTCGAGTATCGCCTGGTATTCTTATTAATATTTTTCGAAAGTTCACTTGGGTGCATTTGCTTGATTTCTCATTCGTTTATCAAATGGTGTCATTTGCAGAACCATTAAACATAGACGGGACAGCATTGTGCATTCATCATCCCTACAAGGGTTGGACCCAGAAAGTTTCAGGTTGAAAGGCGACGAAGTATGTTGGCCCATTAATTGTAAATTCTGTCAGTTCGACATATATACAGCCTGAGTTCCATCCGCTATCATTGGCAAGCATCGAGACCTCATTTTTATGTTTACAACATGCTCTGAACCTTCTAACTCCCGGTCAGTTTGGAGGTGTGGATGACTGGCTTAAGACACTGATTTTCCAGCAATTAATTTACAGTTGAAACACTGCTCCACAAGACCAGCAGTTATATACAGAACTTGTTCCTAGTGACTGATACAAGCAGGTTGTTTACTTAACAGATAAATTTACTTGGAACAGGCAATGAGATTTAAAACGTGGAAAGTCCCTCAATACCATTAATTTATTGGTTGTTTAGGTTTCAAGTAGAAAATTGTTTTTCACTAACACGTCTCCGCTGAACACTGTTCCATACAGTCTGTTTTAAATGGCCTTACGACTGCCCACAAGCTTATATTTCCGCGTCACATGATCACCTCTGTATCAAAGTAAGACACCTATTTCGTGTCGTGTGGTTCTTGTCCCAAAACATGGTATGATGTGTGTTGGCTCTTAATGGTTTCCTCAGTGCGTGTTCAATCCAATCATCTGCATTTCTTTTCTGCATATTTATTAAGTAGTGGCTGGTAATTGGCTCTTTCTTCTCTGCACTTCCTTCTTGCCTATCTCCTCCAGCCGACCATCTCATCTTCCTTACAGAACGAAGGCAGATGCTGTTGATGATTGGATTAGCAGAAAGTCAAAACAAGTGATCTAGTGAAAAGAAGCTATTATTATAATGGTTTAATGTCAAGTGGCAAAACAATTAATGTCATACATAGAATAATTCATAGGATGCCTAGGAATCAGAAGCGTGGTGTGGAATTATAGGGTTGGTAGGTAAACAGGATAAAAATTGTGATCATAATTTGAAATATATTTTAAATGTATTTAATGGTTGCCATCAAGCGGTAACATTCACGCTCGAAATGGAGAACGAGTCTAGTATTCATTTCGTTGATGTGAACTTATCAAGAAAGGCCAATAGAACTCTGAAAAGAGATCAATTTTTAGAAATCTGTCATGGAATGCTCAACTGACAAGTTCTTACACCTGTGCTTCCATTGATCCAAAACGGAACCTGGTCTGGTCGCTTGCCACTAGCATTCGACCAAGATGTGGATGAGTTAAATCTTTTAAGAAAACTCCTAACAGAAAATTGATTTCCACCAGTTTTTTCAGACAAGAACATACAGTCAAATCCTATGAAACGTGACTTATCATCCTTAACCAGGAAAATCTTGGAATTCATGGGGGACTTAGCTTCCGGTTTTATTAAATTTATTTTTATTTTTTAATTTTATTTTTGATTACAGCTTGATGCCACAGTACAAGTATGGCATTTTCAGCACGGATATCGGTAGCCCGAATTTTGCAGGCCGACCATATATATCGCGTGTGCGTCGGCAGGGGATCGAACCACGGACCATGTGCATGGTCGGCGAGAGTCCTAACCACTGAGCCACCGACGCAAATCCTGAGAAGGACATTCTCTGCCGCACTGTTGACAATAGCGTTTTCCGGTCGATCGTTACAACTCAATAACCTGTGCGAAAAGATCCTTGAGTTGAGAAACTCTATACACGTTTATCGATTCACCTGTTCGTGTGGAGCTAGGTTTATTGGCCATCCAACTCGAATTTTGCACAAGAGGGTGCAAGAACCTTATCCTGCATGATTGCGAAGAAGTGGAAGTGGCGCAAAAAGAAGCGCCATTATTGAATTTCTGGTCGATAATTGGTTATCCTATCTATACAGCCTCCACTTTCAAAGCTATCTACAAGGCGAAAAGTAATTTGCCGCAATTACTACGCATCCAACTCATCTGTGTTACTGAAGCTTTGGCCATCCAGATTTCTGTGTACAGAAAACGTTCGTTCAACCCCTCCAACTTTCATGGTCTTAATTCATCTATGATAAAGTATGGTTATCCCTGCTCATATTTTGGCTCTACCAATTTTTCGTTTTGTTTATTCAATGTGAATACTCTTCGTTTACTACAACAATTCTTACTATTTATATTCTCACTTTGAAATGTTCTCGGTATTGTTCCACTTGTCATTCTAAATCAATTGTCCCTATGCAACGTTAAACTCTATGCTATGGAATTTCGCACATTGTTAGTTAACGTTTTTACTTTTTATTGTGTCAGCTTAATAATCCTATAATATCACACTCTTTCCAAGTTCTATACATCCTATGCATTGTTCTGTATATGACATTAATTGTTTTGCCACTTCACATCTGATATTTCACTATGGTAATAATCACAAATATTTTAATTGCATTTCATACTACAATTATTATTAATTCATTTATTCCCTTATTGGATATGATTGCTAGAGAAAAACCATAAACCTTTATACGATTGTATAGCCTGATAATAAATTCATTGTTGAATAGCGTCTCTTCTCTGAATCATCACTTGTTTTGATTTTCTTTATGTCCTAATGGGAATTTTCCATGAATTCAATAAATCAAAGCA